CTGGCGAAGAAGAACAAAAGGGAAAGAGACGAAGAGGAAGGCTGGATCTGGAAGAGTGGAAGGACGATGACTCAGGCGACCATGCGTGGCCGGTGGCCCTCATCCTCATGCGCCCCTCATGCGAGTCAGGCGAGGCATCGATCGGAGACGAAGAGGAAGGCTGGATCTGGAAGAGTGGAAGGGATGCGACTCGGTGAGTCTCACCGGTGCGCGCCTGAGGCCCTGAGCGAGTGAGCGGCAGATGCGGAGCGGCGGACGGTGGAGGAGGAGATCTGGTGGGCGGTGGAACGGCGAAGGCGGATCGGCGGAGGCGGTTGAGCGGTGGCGGCTAGGGTTAGGGTTAGGCGGAGAGGCGGAGAGCGAGAGCCGAGAGGGGACTGGGAATGGGAGGGGCAGCGCTCGCTGGCTTATATATGCGGGCGCACGCGGCGCGGCCTAGCTGTCTGTTCGGCTGGGCCATGCTCGTGCCTACCGTTGGTACGGGCCGTGGTCGTGCCGACCGTTGGGCCGTGCCGTGTCGGGCCGGCCCATCGTGCCGACCTCGGTCCGTGCCGTGACGGGCTGGCCCACCGTGCCCAGCCATAGGCCTAGGCACGGCCCAACAGTCGTGCCGGGCCAGCACGGGCCCGACTGCTACCGGGCCGTGCCGTGCTTGGGCCGGGCCAAATTCCCGTGCCGTGGGCCGGGCCATCAGGCCTTGGGCCATATGGCCAACTATAGTCCCATGCTAAGGCGCCCTTTATGGTTTTCGGCATTTTCCGACTCGTTTTGTTGGAGAGAAAATGTTCTATCACTCTTGACAAAATGTTTCATCGATTGGATAAAAGTTTTAATAGATGCAACACTCGAAAACTACTCCAATAAAAACATAATGAAACATCCAAACACAACCAAGTGCAACAAAAGCAAATTATGGATTGAAACATCGTCAAGCTCTAGAAAAAAAAACAAAACTAACTCTACCTTCTTCTACCCAGCCATCTCTCGAAACTCACGTACATTCCTCGTCGATGAGCTTCTCGACTGTAGCTAGTTGTTGCATCACTTTGACCTCCTTTATCCCTCCGAATCTCCTCTCATTGATGGCGGTGCCGGTGGCCAGGATTTGCCGCCTCCATTCTCTCCGCGTCGCCCTGCTGCCGTCGCCGCCGCCACCACCGTGGCTGCCGGTGATGATGACTCCACCATCTCTTCTCGCCGCCATTGTCATGGTCGCCGGTGACCAAGTCTGGCACCTCCGTCCTCTCCCCGTCACCCTGCCACCGCCACTGCTATGGCCGTCGGTGATGATTGCTCCGCCATGTCATCTCGTCATCGCTGCTATGGTCGACGGCAACAATGGCTAGCTCCGTTCGTGTGTTCTCTACCATTGAAGAAAATGTGAGAACAGGATGAGAGGATAGGATGGGCAATACTTAAATCGATAGTGGATCTCGCCTTAATTAAGTGTCGTCTGACGTTTCATCTCCTCTCAAACGTTCGGGTACAAGCATTTCCGTGATGATGCACATTCATCAGTCCAATTGACCGCATGAATTAATTTCATATGATGGACAGTTGGACATCCGATCATCGGCAAATTATCGGAAAGTATTTAGTAACTTGGCAAGAATTGTTCAATGTTTTACCATTCGATAAAATAAATATTTCAATGAGATGTAGAGCATGTTTGGTAGGACTCCAACTCCTAAATTTAACATCAGGAGTTGGGTCTGGAGTGGACTTGCGGAGCTACCTAAACCCAACTCCATCTATCTACTTTATTTTATGAGAGCACTCCAACCAGCTCCACTCCCATTTTTAGTGAAGTTGAAACTGTTTGGTTGGACTTCATATCATGGTGAGGTGGAGCTGGAGCTAGAGCATGCCAAAACAGGGTCGTAACAGTTATAAAAAATTAATTGCAACACCAATAACCAACATGTGAAATATATAAAAGAAAACTAGCTATACAGTCGTTGATAGAAAAAATTAGCATTATGATCAAATTATAGCAACTTAAAGCCAAATTTGGTCGAGCCTTTCCCGCGAAGGCCTGTCTGGACACCGTTGTGTAGCTGGTCATACTGTACAATGAACCACAGTCAGATCGCGGTTGTCCGGACAGTCGGACCGGCAGCACAAAGTCCAATTAGAGTTTTGTTGTGTTTTTTTCTTTGGTCCCGGGATTTCCTTGATTATAAAGCTTCATAAAATATAGGGGGCCCAAGGCCGATTGAAACAACAATCAATCAATTATCAAAATCAATCTAGTACCTCTATCATTTGTATTATACACCTCCCTCCCTATTGCTATCTATCTCCAAGTCTATTCACCACTCAATCCCTCAATTGCTTGTCATTCTTGTTTCTACAGCGATAGAGGACATCCTAGTTGGCATGTCGAGCTTAGGACAAACCGCTGCGTGTTACCCTGACAGGGCCCCTTCTAGGTGTTCGTTCGGTGGCATCTGCTCTCTCCTATGGCAACACGTGTCCGATGCCGTTGCGAGTTGTATATAACATGCTCAAGGTGTGGTGGCACTATTCGGTGCCAACAACAACAAAAAAAATATATATTGCTGAGTACCTTCAAGATGGTGGCCGGAGGGCACGAGATACGCCTTTAATGAAGCAGTTCACATCATATGCAAGTGTAGCATTCAGTCGAATAGAATTGCACTCGAACACAATAAAGTGCAATGTAGATAAACAACGGATCGCAACAAAAATTACCCAACTCCAACAAGAGCTACCATATGTTTTCTTCCTCTGCTCCATGATCGGCTTTGCCTTCTTCCTTGCTCCTTTGACTAGATTTGGGCTTCCCATGCCCATAGAGCCGAAGCGTGTGCTAGAGGCATACTTGAGGTCGAGCATGGTATTGTCCGGGTCCATGCACACGGGGCTTCACCTTGGCCCCGAGCCAACAGTTGACATGGTCTGAGTTGAAAAGCAATGTGAAAGTAGATGAAGCATGTATGCTTCATCAAAGCGCTCCAGGCATACGGTCACTTCTTAGGACAGCATGCAGAGGGAGGCTATTGGCCGAGGCAGCTGGTGGGGCAACCGATTTTTTCTATTTGGCTCGGATACCTAGTGGAGAGCATTCTTGTAATTTGATCGACACTATAGTACAAGATAGTGATAGAAATTTGAGAGATCCCGAGGAAAATAATTAGGTTTCCATCTAGCATAAACAATATAATGATGATTCTAGTAAACTAAAACTACCTTTGTTTAAGCTACTTGGATTTCTTTTCCTTTTCTTTAACAAAACAAGATTTAGTTACGATTGAAAATAATTTTCTTTATCTTCTTCCATAGATCCTTTACTCATATTTTTAAAATTGGATACTTAATACAATGCAAAATTATGCTTCCTGACTCTTGTACTCATAATCCAAATCCGATTTATTTTAAGGATGCAATTTCCATTAGTCTTTGAATACAGACTTCTACAATTATCTTATCAATCAGCCGTGCAACGTAGCCAGGTGCATGCAAATTATGCTGGACTTGGTAGCTACACAACAAAAAAAAAGTGTGCAATCAAGCTAGAATACATGTGTAGAACTATAACAGCGCAAAGTGCTATATACCAGCTTCGGAGTCTAGAGTGCCGGACTTATTTGGACCACTCACACTCACACTTGAGACGGATATGGCTATCGGGTGACAAAATCGATAACCATCTTCCCTTGCCACCTTCTCTTGCTGTCGACATACATCCAAGTCATGATCCCACACCTGCACCACTATTAGTGGTGGAGCCGCCATGGTCCTCTTCCCAAAAGCTCGGGAGGTGGTTCCACCGTTGACTACTATCACTTCCCTACAGTCCACTCATCACAATCTACATCAATTTGCTTAAAACCCTAACTTCTCTGTTGTGCACTGCTAAAAGACAACCTCTTCCCATATTAATTATATTTATTTACTAGAAACTATAAATATTTTATTAATTAAACCATCAAAATGAAGTGCATAGCCTTCCTTTTCCTCATATACTTGATTTTGTATTGCAGTAAATAGTTTCAAGCGCCTAATTTTCGTACTTTTGAATAGAATATTAAATCATTCATATTCATTTTAGTTCTCAGTAAAATTTCCAATGGATCAAACTAATTAAGAATTATGCAGTGGCAAACTAGAGAACTCGATCACAGCATAGTGGATATATCACAATGATGCACCAGTGACTGATCAAACTGGCATGTTTGCAAATATGAACTTAATCTGGAGTTGAAATTTCAAATTTCAAAGCTTCTGTTTGAAATTTAATTAATACTCACTCCAGTCCCCCCCCCCCCCCGGGCACACACCCCCCCCCCCTTTGTTTTGCCTGTAATTACGATATTGACACAATCTCCAATTCAGTTGTTCGATTACTGTTTTTTTCTTATTGTATGTTTACAAAGAATTAATAACATAACCAAATGAAAGAATTTTCACAAATTAATCTACTAATTAATGTCATTTAAAACATCATCTTTCTTAAATAGAAGAAACATCTTAGCATGATGCATGCATGTTTGCCACGCTTGCCAGCTAGCCATAATACCACACTATATTTTCACAGACCTTCACAATCAATAAATAATATATATGTGCACCAAACACCCATTTGGTCGAGTGACGAAAATGACGAACAAACTAGCTAGGCTATTAAAATTAACTTCCAAAATTCAAATTTTCTGAAACAAGCATGCCCAATAGTTGGTCGAGTGACGAAAATGACGAACAAACTATCTAGGCTATCATAAGGGTAAGGATTGAGATTGCCCATGTGGAGTTACTGAAAAGCTAATGACACTATGCATTGTGTTTTTTTAAGTAAAATGCATGAGATTATTGTGTGGAATGCAGTTAATATTCTCTTGTTAGAAAAGGCAAGTTAACTATTTGGAACTTCATCTCGAAAGTCGAAATGCATGTGCCTCCTTCCCATCTACTACTCCCCATCTACATCTCGGAGTAACTAAGATTATCGCCGAGTAGTACATGCATATACAGTACTCTTCGCATCAAGAATCAGGACTACATACTAATTAACACTAAATTCTGAAGCAGGACACAAAATGATATGAACACACATCTGATCTTTTTTAAGCGAACTACTAATATTAATACATTACTAGCTAGCTGGCCAGGTTTTGCCATTAATCACTTTATGTACATAATTAAACACACACACTTAGAGCTGACCATATCAGTTCGATCGATCACCATACAGCTTAATTAACACTATGACTAACTAAATTCCCCGCACATGCCATCATCAACTTGATCTTCGTTAGATCAATCCATACAGGCTGAACCACTCAACCACACTGTTATCAGCGTAGCCGCCGTACTCCGGGACATACACCAGGTCATCGTCTCCGAGGTGATCTCCGCCGCCGAAGCTCGGCGGCTGGCAGGTACCCGTCGAGAACGACGAGCTCGGGCTCCCGGCGACGCAGGCGCCGCTGCCGCCTAAGCCCATGATGTCTCCGCCTTCTCCGGAGGCCGTGTGGCTCCCCGCCGCTGATCTGAGCCGCCTCACTTCCTCCTCGGCGACCACCAGCCTCTCCTTCAGCCTCAGCACCTGCATGCCGCCATGGATGGATCAGAGGAATTGAGGCAGCAATAAGTATACATGTGTGTACATGCAAGGACGGACGATGTGTTGTTACCTCGTTCTCGAGGTGGCATTTGTGGAGGATGGCGGCGTCGTGGGCGTGCTTGAGCTTGGAGAACTCCTCCTCGAGCAGCTTGCTCTTGTGGCGGGCGCGGCGGTTCTGGAACCAGACGGCCACCTGCTTGGGGTCGAGCCCGAGCTCGGAGGCAAGGTGCACCTTCCGCCCGGTCTCCAGCTTCCGCTCCTCCCGGAAGCTCAGCTCCAGCATCTCCACCTGCTCGTCGCTCAGCCGCCGCTTCTTCGGGTCCCCTCCGTCCACCTCGCCACCACCGCCGCCGCCGCCAACGCACCTCGCCCCACGCCTCCTCCTCCTCCGCGCTCTCGGCCTCTCGCCCTGCACCTCACCTGAAAAAAAGATCGATCGATCGTGGCAGCATGATCAGTACACAGTTGACACTTGCCATGAGATGGAGAGGCAAGAAAATGGCGGGAGCTAGCAAGCAAAAGCTAAGTAGCACGAACCGCTGGCTGCTAGGAGGGAGGCGTCCACGTAGGAGGCAAACATCTGCTGCTGCTGCTGCTTCTCGCCGTATCGGTCCATGCCGTCTCGCACACTAGCTCGATCAGCTCAGCTCAGTTCAGCCTTTCTCTCTCTCTCTCTCTCTCTCTCTCTCTCTCTCTCTCTCTCTCTCTCTCTCTCTCTCTTGTCAAGCGTGAGGTGAGGACAGGAGGGAGAGAGGAAACTGAACTGAACTGGATTGTCTCTGGATGGAGAAGAGGACCACGCACCACCACCACCACAGCCACTGCAAAGGCACACACCAGTTGATGTTTAAGTAAGGCCGGGTGCGTGTCTCGAGAGAGAGACCTACGAGTAATATATATAGATAGGAGCGGTACACACGCAGCCGCTGCTGTGTGCATGCCTCCCCCGTTTGTTGCTTTCTCATCCAGATCGATCACCCAAAAGCTAGCAACGACTCACGATCAAATTCTGATCCATCGATCGCTAAAAAAGACGTTATGTTCATTGCTGAACGTAGTATATAACGCAAGGCCAGTTGATGACTGGGCATTGCTGTTTATCTGGTTGTGATCATGAGCACTAGTGCTGCTAGTGTTACCGTAGTCATGCCGACCGACAAAAAGTTAGCTTGTTATCCCCTTGGAATGGATACTCTGTCTGACACTGTCACACGCACACTTACTTTGGTGAAGTAGGGGCCGGATGGGTGCACGCATGAATGCATGTGTCAGTGCATAATTTTGGGATTAGTGGGGGTAGAGAATGCACGACGATCTAGGCCAGCAAGAGCACAGCACAAAGAGCGGCCGGCCGGCTCGACAAGGTGGCACTTGCCCCTGGAAAGGGCTCTCGCTTTCTTTGAAAAGATCGGGGAGAGGAGGAGCTTTGGCTATAGCTAGATGAGATTCTCGCCTGAGTCGGTAGCATGTTAATTGTTCGATCCATGGCTGACTGTACTAGTACTACCACTAGCTAACTAGCCAACTATTTATCCTCTTTTGAATTGTACTACCTCCGTCCCATATTACTTGTCTTTTTGAATTTTTGTTTGTCACTGTTTGATCATTCGTCTTATTCAAAAAATTTTAGAATTATTATTTATTTTATTTATCATTTGCTTTATTATCAAAAGTACTTTACATATGACTTATCTTTTTTTTATATTTACACTAATTTTTCAAATAAAACGAATGGTCAAACTTTACAAATAAAAAGTAAAAAACATCACCTATTATGCGACGGAGAGAGTAGAAAGCTTGCTGCTCCATCGATAATCGGATCTAGTACCATCGCATATAAGCACTATTGTTTTGAGAGAGGAGTAGAGAGAGAGAGGGAGAGAGAGAACTGCTGAATTATCTGAGTTCGAGCACGTACATACGCAGCTTTGATCTGAAACATCTGTTCAGAAAATCATACCGTACGTGCACTCATAATAACCATACGATGCGGTGCGTGCACTGTATCTGAATTTCGAATTTTCGATCGATCAGCAGTCTGCACGTACGGTTTACCGCGTCGTCGTGTGTGGTGTAGCACACTGCAGATATAAGGAATATCCGGAGCGATCATGTGTGTCATACGATGATCCGATCCTATGCGCCGAGAACCAGAAGAAGGCAGATACAAAACCGTGTACTGGATCAGTCAGAATGTAGGCACACAAGTAAAGATAGCTGCCATGCAATGCATGCAGAGAGATGGGATGAGATGGTCCTGGATAGGGGTTCGGATCGTGCGTCTTCCAGGTAGCCGGAAAGAAAGCAACAGAGCTAGTCCGCGCAAGTGTGTATGCGAGAGGAAAGGAAGCGTCAGGTAGCGCGAGAGGAGGGCCGGGGGCGTTGGTGGTGGCGCGCGCGTCGCTGTGGGTGTGGGTGTGGGGAGTAGCTAGCCCGGGAGACAAGGGGAGGAGGCACATGGGCTGCACCCGCGCGCGTCCCCCGTCCCCGCGGGGGCGCGCACACGCGTCGAGCGGCGCGGGGCTTCACAACCGCGGGACCGCATGCCCCTTCGCGCCGTGACGTGTCGCCCGCACCGGCACCGCCCCCCCGGGCGCCTCTCCCACACACCACCCGCGGATCGCGAGGCGACGAAGAAGAATTACCACCGCGCGCGCTCGGGTCTCGGCTCGATCGATCTCGCGGCTCGACCACCACACGCGCACGCAGCGCCTCCGCTCCGGGGTGGGATTCCGAAGGCGCCACCTGCGCTCTGCTATAGCTAACGAAAACGGTCGGAGAACTCCCAAACTAACCGATAATCTTTTTTTCGTACGTGTAAATAATATGTTTCCGACCATTTCCAATTTCTTTTCTTAAACACAATAAAAAACATGAGTTCATAATGTGTGCGTACTCAGCTATATATAAATACACACGCACAGACACTATTCCCATGAGCACCTTCAAAAGAGTGGAGTGATATATCTAAAGATTGATGACGATATCAATATGGATGCATCGTTGTCGATTAATATGTCATCTACCACTGGAAAATTAGCCATAAATATGACGATTGTTTCTAATTCTAACCATATATTAAAGTTATGTTTTTTTCAATTTCTTTCAACGTTGTATCAGTGTCACTACTAAATGTTTAAATTGATAAATATGGTTAATTTTCCAAGCGACCAACCGAGAATCGTATCGTAAGAAGCGCTACTACTGTTTTCATCCTTACCTATTGCAGCATGCTCACTGTTGCCGAGAGTGGATCCCACTATCAGCAGGGACCATAGTAAAAAATCATAACAAAATTTTAATTTTTAGAGCTTCTTTGGACGCAGGATTCTCAAACACATATGAATAGAAAAACCTGCAGGATTAATATGTCAATGCAATCCTAAGAAATGGAAAACGTACACAGGAAACCGTTTGGATGAAACACGGAAAAAAAACATAGGATTTAGAAGAGAGAGATAGCACAAAGGAAAAAAATCTATGAGCTTGGAGCTTATGCTAGAAATTCTCCAAAATTCCATGAAACATGCAATTTCATTGAAATTTTAAAGAAATTATAGATACCCAATCCTTTTCTTTCAAAAGGGCTTCTACAGGATTTAAATCCTTTGAAATTAATTTCTCTATTTTTTTCTTTATTTTAAAGGGGTCCTTAAGCATTTATAATCCCTGTCTCGCTGACATGTTGGTCCATTTTAACGAACTACTCCTCACCGAGGATGGCATCGTCGTGTGAGACAGTATCGGATCGAAGGTCAGTACGTGTAAAGGCACTGTCTCCTGTGAACATAACTGCACGCTGAAGGTATTGTCTTATTGGAGTTTCAGGCCATGCAGTGCATTTTGATCATCACACTGATCAGACTTTTCTCCGCACAGGAGATCGACCAAAGATTACTTGTAAAAGCTCCAGGCTTATCGTCGATTCGATCGCAACCAGAGCCCGGCCGGTTGCTTATCTAGTCAGCAACTAGTCGCCGCCGGCCTATTTACGGTCTCAGCCGATGCCAAATTCTCCCATCTGAACTGTAAAGGTTACAGTCACAACTAGGCCGGATCTTGGTTGATCTGTTCGAATCCAACTCATCCCCAGGCCGACGGACAGCCGAGATCTGCTCATTCATGCACATGCCACGAAGCATTTCTTGCAGCATTTTCCCCTGATTTGTATCTGAATCCTATCAGCTGTCGACGTTACATGCACTGACGCAGTGAGTCATCTACTCCCGTATTAGGAAGCTCGCGGCACTGTTCATCCGATTTTTGACCCTGGCTTTGCGCATTTCTGGTAAGAGTTATCCAGTTGTTCCCTGTTTACTTTGTTTAGCAGGTCGGGGCAGCTGAGCTGTGCAAAAGATTAGCCGCCATTGGTGTTCTTGGCAAAATGTGTAGGGGCCTTAGTTTGTTGATGTGTATAGCTAGCTATAGCAGCTACTGGTCCACGAGAAGAAACCGGAGTTGTTGGGTGCAAGCAACACACAGCATGTACACGTTGTAGAGTCGTAGCTTGACTGACTTTTCGATCCAAACGATATCGATCCATGCATGTTCAGTGTTGTCAAACGTCTTGGTGTACAGTGAATTGCACCAGTAGTGAAGGTGTATTTGGTGAGGAGAAGAAGAAGCTAAGAAAACTTTGACTTAGCTAGCTTAGCTAAGCATTTTGCTCACACATGGTGTTACACGAACTACATGTGAGATAATGCTGAGAAAACTAACTTACCCAATCTGGCTAGTCCCTTTTAAATTAGCTGTTGATATCCTTGCAAGAAAGATCTGTTTCTGCATCTTCAGAAACTTTATTAGTGTTCTGGCAAATTTGTAATCCTAATTTAATGTTGTTAAATTATATTAATTAATTAGTTAACAATGTAGTGTGTATATCTATCTAGCCATCCTGTGCTGCACTTCGGTGCTCACATGGGTCATTCTGATAGGAAACTGGCCAACCGTATCAAGCTAGGTTTTAAAAGAAGAGAGGCAATTCTCGGTGGATATACATGCATGCTGGGGTTAAGGAAGGAGAAGTTATCAATAGACCTCATTAGCTGAGCCTAGCTGTATTAAGGCTGTATAATCATGATCCTTTACACTCACATCTAGGCTGGTTTCAATAAAGTATAGCAATAGTACTAGTATTAATTGGTTAACTAGAGATCAAAGCTAAGTAAGGACACAGTTGTCCAAGTCAGAGAGATCAACATGATGGCTAGGAGATAAACCCAAATTCTGATGATCATGTGCTCGATTCCCTCGCATGCTCCATGATCTCCACTTGCTTTATGTTAATGCACTTACTAACTACAAAAGCTGATTAAACAAATGGAAGAACCCTTACTCCCGGACAAGCCATGCTCCTGCTTCCCAACTTCCAACTAATCTCCTTGGATCTGCCCAAAACCTGCAATGATCGTCTTAAATGATTGTATAAAGAAGATTATACATGAGATTAATCAATGGCAAAATTTGCTGTTAAGCACAAATTAATGGCCGTCTTTGTATGACTTTATTCATCAAGAATTTTATATATGCTCCCGTGGAAGTTGCCTTAATGCGGTTGCAAATGCAGCCTTGGACACACATGGAAAGAGAAAAAGTTAGCACCCATTAATCTGCTTGTAACAAGGAACATAAGGTCGATCATTAATTTCTCCTCCCAATAACAGTTCAAGTCAAAGCTCCATGACAAGAACATAGTTTTCACCCACAACTTTAATCTTTAATTACTACCCTCATGAAGAACTCATCACCTTTATCCAAACTAATCTTTCACCTTTCCTTGAATTACGCCACTAACCATGTGACATGACCCACTAAAATAACACCATTTCAATGCCTAAGCTTGATAGGATGCCTGCTAAAAAAGGTGATTACTGATT